GGGGGAGAGGGAGTCGCTGAAGGATCCGAACGTTGTCTGAATGGACTGACAGCTTCCAGCACTTTGTCAACGGTAGGAGAAGATTTCGTTTTTCTCCCAGTAAAACCAGTTAACAGCTTACGAAACGCTGCTCGGTGTGTCTTTTCAAGCATTTAAAGCTCAGATTCAGCTTGAAAGTGATGCCTCACTGCTCTGAGGCAAAAGCACAACACTCCACGGCTGTTGTGTGTCTATGCACGGGCACTATATTGGGCTTTGCACTCTGAAAACAATGTATTCTAAATATACAGCTGTAAATCTAAAACAAAGTTCACCCAACCTGAGCAGAACAATAGAGCTGCTGTGAAGCTATTGTCTCAGAGCTACAATCTCTGGTATTGACTTTCCTCCCTCTACATTTACAGAGCAGATTTCTCGCCACAGACATGCTCATGTGCTGCATGCTGTCATGGATATAATGCATGCACGCTTTGTGTCTGCAGATCACATCCATAGTTGATCTCTTTGTGCTGCAGTTTTTATGTCTGAGTGTCTGTAAACAGTGTTACTGACTCCAGATCTGCATCAGGGATACAGACATGGGGATTTATGGTGTTAATGGAAGGTGATTAATCATCAGACGTGGTTCTGGTTCTGACATTTTAGATTTTTTTTTCATGCAAAAATTGGACAGGTTTGCTAAACACTAAGAATTCAGCATCTCAGATGACAAAGGTTCACCAGTGTGTTGACTTTGATGCTGATGCTTATCGGTATTTTTGTGCAAAGTTTATTTTTTTGTCTGCATCCTCCCTGCTGAGGGCTCCTTCATCGCCTTGCTCTGGCTCCCATAAATCCATCGAGTTTAGAGGAATCTGAAACTTTGTGGGATTAATAGCCACGTCTTGCTACTAGTAGTGGATATATAATTGGCTGCAGATCTACACGAGACGCCGAACTGCTTAAAAAATAATTTACACCTACTTTCACAAGCATAGCCTCAATCATATGTCCAAATATAAAAAAAGGGACACTTTTGGTGACGCTGATTTTACCTGTAAAACGCTAGCGTGCTGCTAACTCAAGCTGATTGGTCACTTAAAGGTTTACAGGACACGCTCCCTCACCTTTTGCAAACGAAACACTGAAGCGGCTGGATGGCACTTGGAGATGATTGAAATGGAAGTGGCAGTGATTCGTGGTGCTGTCGCAGAAAGGAATTTTGCGACAATCGAATCCCTAAAATTGTCTCTTTTGTCTCAGCTCCTTCTGTCCGAAGCACGATGAAAGCCCCCTGTGGAACCTGAAGTCCAGAGCGCAGGAGTTCTTGAGTGCCACTTCCACACCTTCATCCACTCATGGGCTACAAGCTGCTTCTTTCATGTCGCTTTTAGCTTCTCAGATGACAGGATTTCTGCTTTCTGGTTTTGTTTGTATGTTTGTACAGACAAACACAACCAGCACCCTTATTCAGGGCGTTATTAAACCTCTTATGGGTATTGATAAAACTATTTAAGGTTTCATTGACGAAGTAGCCCCACGTGAATGAGCTTTGAGTGTTTGTGTTGTTACAACAAGGACTTTAAAACATGGATGTAGTCACTGCCATGGATTTTTGGACTTCACACTTATTTGGAGCCAGAATATTGAGATAAGAGTGCAGAGTGCATTCATCAGCTAAACCTGGTGAGCTTTCATAGCAAACTACAAACATAAACCTGAGCGCTAGCATTCAGACACAGATAGTGAATAAAACACTAGATTTTCTTTTCACAGAAACTGCAGCATAAACTTCCTGGATGGCCTGCACCACAAAGCCCATAATATTTTATTTCACAGAAATATTTGTTAGTTCAGCCCTGCAGAGGAGACGTGAAAATAAAACCATGCACATCTCCTCGGCAGGCAGGAGGAAGACGGTTAGAGAATGTGAGATTAAATCAGACAAAGAGTGTACCGCTGCCTTCTGTTGCGTGGGGATCGCAGCAGCCGAAATGCTTTGGCAGTAAAGGAGAGCGCCCAGTGATGCGCTGCTGAGCGCGCAGGGACAAAGCCTCAGTGTTCGCAGGCGATGTAGGTCGAGCCGGTTAAAGCCGGCTGCTTTGATGTGCTGCACAGCTCCGTGAGCGCCGTGGGAGCGGACGGCCGAGCCTCGCCGGAGGCCGCCGCACAAGAGGACGCTGAACTCCAGCGCCGTGACGGCTGGCGTGATGCAGTCTGACTTCTGCAAACATTTCCAGAGGGACGAGCTGCTCACGGGACAGAAGTAATCTCTCCGGTTTTGTTGCTTCTCAGTGAGCAGATTTAAAGAACAACAGTTCACATGTTAACATTAGATCAGTGGTGGTGAGCTGAATGACTGAGGATGGAGCTGAAAGGCCAACAACAACCAGCACAGAGAGGGGAAGAGTCAGCACTTTCCAGGGCTGATAAAGGGATAAGTCCGAGGGAGGATGAAAACTCTTTAGCTTTAGTAATATTTCTGTATGATTTCAAACTGATCTCACCCATACTTTTTGTGGCATCACTGAAGTAGACATTTGGTCTTTACCGATGTCTGAAGGTGCTGAGGATGTGGTTTGTACATCTTTCAGTCAGTAGGTACTCGTCTTCCAAATGACTCTTTACTCGTTGTGTAAAATGTAGCAGACCTGGACATGTGCAATTGTTATGAGATGATCAGTGCTGTTTGGAGTTTTAGCCAAGAGGCAAGAAAGTCTGCAGTTTCACTTGCAACCACTTCAGGCTTCTCTAAAAGTGAGTCCATCCCCACAGACCCCACGTAAATGTCCAAAATCATCCATGTTCTAATGGTTATCAATGAGCAAAGAGCAAAATGCAGAGTCCAGAAGCCAATTAGTGATAACTACAGTGGTTACATCTGTCTTTTATAAATAGTGTGTGGTTTTAGCTCATAGCTGTGAGGTGTGGGTCTTTATATTATTCCTTTTGTCATAACCAAAAGCCAAAAATCTAAAAGCTGAAATGATTATTTCAGGATTTTATATACAATAAAAGAAATGTAGTAAATCTTCAGATTAGAGAAACTGAAACCAGGTGATAAGTTGACATTTTTAGAAGCAGTGTCATTTATTAGTTATGTAAGTGGTTGGTCATCTTTTCAGTAATTATAATCTGTATTAGGGCAGGGCAGTATGGCCAAAAACATTTATCACAATATATATTTGAAAATTTGCGATAACTATATAACTGACGATATAATGCATGTGAGACTCCACAACTTTAAACTTAAAAGAGCTTATACACACACAATACGGTAACATTATGTTGAAGCACAGTACGTATCACTCCGCGAGGCTACAGTAGCTGTAATGCTCCGACGATCCATCAAGCTGTGCGGCTTCGTAGCTTAGCAAAGTCGTACTGAAACATTTTTTTGACAGATTTTTAAGCGCCGCGTACCAAATTAAATCGGTTCGGTAATAACGACGGCCCGCTAGCATGCTCTACCAAAAAATGTGCTTTGGTGTGTATCTGACGGACGAAAGCCAAACCAGTTCGACTGAAGTTGCAGCATTTTTACAAACAAATTCTGGTTCATCCGTTTCATTCAACGATCCGCTTTCACCCTTCTCATTCTCCATCGCCGCCATGCTTTTTCTGCCACGTGCGCATGAAAACAAAGGCACTGCGCATGCGCGTTTTACCCATATTCTATCGCGATATTTGATTTTCTTATCATTGCCTAACATTGTATCAATATTACCGTGAACGGTATCTATATAGTAGCAAGAACCCACTGTACACACGGTTTTTGCCATGCCCACAGGGCTCGTTTGCTGTGCTTATGTATTCAAAAAATTAATGTATCACGTTATTCTTTATATCTTCAATATAGAGTCAGATGACAAAAATGTCTTTTTACAAATGAAATTTGTTCTTAGATTTTTGACTTGTGTTAGAGGAAATCATGACACGTTGTGATGGGTATTTTTGTTTGAGCTGCAGATAACCTGACAATCACTTCCTTATTTAAATAATCAGTTATTGTCACGTTAAAAATGTTTTTATGAAGTGTTGTTCATCATCTGCCCTGGTGAGATCTTCTCTGGGTGGAATAGGTGATAATGAAACTGTCATTCTTCTGCTCTAAACAGAAGAATTGAGATTTTTAAAAGCTGTGACATTCACAGTGTCTCACAGCAATAATTCATGTTTATCATTTGTTACCAAAAGCCCAAACTCCCAGATTACTCCGTTTACAGTCATACCTGACAGAAGCAAGTCGACATGCTTAGCGCGAACCATCAAATGTATGGCATTTGTTCCTAAAATACTAAATTTATGGCAATAAAAAGCTTACAGGTAGTGAACTGAGAGGAAGGGTCATCAGTAATGGCAAAAAGTCACCATTTTCTTTCACTGATTGGCTGTTTTCTTTTAGTTGATTGATTGGACCTGTCGGTTCACAGAGTTCAGTGGACTCAGCTTGACAGACAATGACTGATGACCAACAGCAACCAGAAGACATTTCAGCCCATTAGAGCTCAAACTGAAGCTTTTTTGTAGCATTAATAAAATATACGGTAAACACAAGAAAAGCCCAAGGCTGCTGCTAATGATTGCTGGCGTTATTGATCGCTGTAAAGACTTTATTTTAGTTATTCTGTCTGTTGAGAAAAGGCTCAAGGAGACGGCCTAAAATGTATTTTTAAAAATTTATTTTTTGGTCACCCCAAACATACTTTGGTCACTGTGAAATAGCTATAGGCAGTGGCAGAAAAACTAAACTGTTTTTGTTTTTGTTTTTTTTTCAAAATGGCACATTATTAATCACCTTCTCCTTAAGTGGAGCCATTATTCTCTTTATGGAAAGCTTTTTAATGTCTGTTTTAAGTACATTAGCTCAGACAGTTAAGCTGCCAGACTGTCGCATCTCAAATCCCACATGTGTTTCGTCTGGTCCTGGATTCTGAACATTGCAAGACCGAGGTTACTATCAGTCATTCTGTCAGGGTTCATGCTCTCTGCTTGTGCTGTTATCTTTAATAAATACCAAACATTTCGTTTTGAGAACTTGAGTTTGTCTTCAGATTGTCTTCTATTTTTTTTGTCTTTAAAGTGGAACAAAG